AGGCAAGATAATTCATTTGAAATCCAGTGATTGCATTGTCCTTTCACCCTGAATTTACAGAAAGGGTCAAGTCAGTTTGTATTGCCATTAAACCCTTCATAAAAGTAATTTCAAGCCAACTCAAAATTAGTAATTAGACTAATTCTTTCCCACTAAAAGAGTCACAAATCATGATAAGCAGATTGTGTGTAGAAGTGTTCGAAGTCATGTTTAAATAGAAGACATGCATAGGCCATTTTAGGAAAACAGGACCTATTGAATAATAATACTCTTTTGGAAGTAAATTAAATGAGCATAACTTCTGAGGTCACTTTAGAGTCTGCAGTGCTCCGTCTATGTAACTACAGACAGCCAATAAGAGAGACTACTAGAGTTTTATGTGGTGATGATGATACTAATAAGTAACGTTTCATCTGGTGTTATTTTTGGATGTTCTAGCCTTTAAAGTCATAATCATGCAGAACTCTCACAGAAGGCTGCAGAGAGCTCAGCAGACAATATTACTCTCTGAAACAGCATAGAGGATTTGGGAAACGGCTGTATTGATCCACCATCGTATCACTTCACAGAAGATTGAAATTGGACATACATCATTTAGAATCCAGTTTTGTTTTTGATGAAGACACTTTAATGGACTTTTTGCACTGGCTAAAACTTCCTCTGTGTTTGCTTAGAAAACAGATATATGGCAGATAACAATTCACTGCCTGGTGGTGAGTCCTTGCAGAATCAGATCAAAGACCAGATTGTTACTGTGCAGATCCTGGTGATAATTTTTCTCTGCATCAACTTGTTGCTCATCATAACCTTTTCAAAAAAAGAGTGCTTCTACACAACTACACGCTACATCCTATTTGCTGTTACATTACTGTCAGATAGTTTCTTGTTATTAATGTCTAATATCCTTGTCATTTTCACCCATTTTCATATTACTATTCAAGTTTGGTTGTGTATCATTATCTCTGTTGTGGTACTTGTGTATGTTACAGTCACACCAGTTACTCTGACAGCAATGACCCTGGAGCGCTACGTGGCCATTTGCATGCCCCTGCGCCATGGAGAGCTGTGCTCCACACGCAATACTATTCACTGCATCCTCATCATCCATTGCCTCAGCTCTGTGCCCTGCATTGTTATTCTCTCCACCTTCTTTGTATCAGCATCCCTGAACTTTTACAAACAATATCAGTTATGTTCAGTGGAGGTGTTTATGTTTTACATATGGCAGCAACATCTTAGATCAGCTGTATATCAATTCCAGTTTTTGATTATGTGCATCATCATTGTTTTCTCCTATGGTAAAATAATGAAAGTGGCCAGAGCTGCATCAGGAGAAGATAAAAAGTCATCAAAGAAAGGGCTCAGAACAGTGGCTCTTCATGGTTTTCAGCTGCTGCTCTGTATCATCCAGCTGTGGTGCCCGTTCATAGAAGCTGCTTTGTTTCAGATTGATTATAGTTTATTTTATAATGTCAGGTATGCTAACTACGTAATGTTTTATCTTGCACCAAGATGTCTGAGTCCTCTAATTTATGGCCTCAGGGATGAAGTTTTCTTTCATGCACTGAAAAACTATGTCTCCTCTGGCTTGTGTAAAAGAAATATTATTTGACATTTGAATTATAGTAACAGTTAGTCACTGTCTGTATGTAATTGTTCATCTATGACAAGTATAGATCTTGAATGAGCTTAACGGTTGACTGCTTGAATAATTAGACTAATCAGTGAGGTGCTTGGTAGCCATCAGTCATGAAGTTTTTATAAATAGTTTAGCACCTTTGCCTTTAGATGGAAGATGCAGCATGTAATTTAATTAAACATCACTTTGTCCATATTGCTGATTTATAAACAGTCAGTCGTTACTGTCAGTCCTGCAGTGATATATATAGTATACTGTAGATAGTTGTTTGTGAACTTTGTCTACGTAAACTGTAGTCAAAAATCTTCAAGAAGTAATTTAATTGAGCTGGTAGGATTGAGGGTTGTTGAAGTTGGCTTTTGTATTCTTCAGGCAGAATGCCTGTTTGCTTCATGGTATCAATAGTTAGCTTTGAGAAATCACATGCTGTCAAATTCTTTGATAAGTGAATTTATTGATTAATATGATCTTGACTGATTACTTCTCTATTCAATGGCTCTCCAGTCTCTACTCCAAAGGAACACAACAGGACAATGACTGAGTTTAAATAAAAAGATTTATTAAGTATACTGCTAACTACAGAGTATATGTCTGATAACCATTAAGATGGAAATTGGAGCAGAACAAGCAACAGCTGATAAAATGAACGGTGCAATGAATTGGGCAATTGCTATACTACTAAATGGTACTACTAATGTTTCTATGTCTACGAATGATTTTTTGGTGGTTAAAACGATAATTTATCTTGACATCAGCCAAGTCATGAGCAAAATATTAATACCTCGCCCACTGTGAGTTGCTCTGTAGCTGCAGACCCTTTGCTGAAACCCAAGCAATAACCTTCGACAGCGGACTCTGGGTAGATCCTCCTGGAGGCATCGTCTGTTACCAAGGTGACAGTTCTGCCGGTGTCTCTCAGTGGTTTCAGCTTTAGTGAAGTCTGTCTGCAGACTTTCTGTCTTGGGCACCCCTGATTTCCTTGTAGGCTTCTCTGTAGGTCGTCGTGGGCAGATCGTGTTATCTGCCTGCGTCTCTTGTGAGTTGATGCGAAATAAAACTCTAATGTACTTAACCTTTGCTATATAACTTTATAACTTTTACTCTGCAAAATGAAATTGTGATAATTAAATATATAAATATATTTAAATATATATAAATATTCAGAGGCATTTCTGATTTGATTCAGCTGGTTTTGACCTGTCTTGTAAAAATTAAATAGTGTTTAGACAAAGAAAAAGTTACTTTGGACATGAGCAACACGCGTGAACAAAAGTGATAAAGGAGAAATTAAGTGAGAAAACTGTAGACTGGCATGTAGCCAAAAAGCGATGTGTGAAGTGATCACAGCAGTTTTACTCTCTAGGGGCTGGTTCACACCCTTTAGTTTCAACTAGAGAGGAGAATAATTACCTATAGCTCTTTTGAATTGTTTAATCTGGAGTTTACTTAAATATCACACATCCGCCTTCCACCATCACAATAAAACATTTAATGAAACAACATATAAATCGAATGGCACTAACTATGGCAGAGGGGAACAATACAGATGTGGATTTCATATTACATCCTTCAAAATCTTAATTTAACATAATACAAAGTGGTTAATCGATCCTGAAGTTTAATGGTAAATAAATGTGGATTACACAACAGCCCTTTCACTATAATAATAGTGATAAAGACACTGTGAATGTCTTTAATGTCTGTTACATTGTGTGAGGGATGCTGACAGTATGGTCACATGAAGGATATTGTCTTAAAATCTATATATTACATTTCGTTATTTTACATTTCGGTAAAGAGTCTCACTGTTACAAAATGGAGATTCTGGTTGTTTACTCCAATTTTACTTCAAAGTCTATTTGTTGATCCTCTGGAGCTGACCATTTGACCCATGGTCTGATTGTACATCTCTCTGATGAGCTAAAAGCTGGTCTGCTTGTGACAGAAGCATCCTTTCTCTTTGTTTCCTATCAATTTAATAGTTTGATGGTGAGAAGAGTAAGAAGGTCACATTTATGGGTCCATAACTCGACCTGTCCTTACTATGAACGTCTTTAATGGCTTGTGACTGATGCCAAGCCAGGTATGTCCACTACACATTACATCCCCAAACCGTAACACCCACAGGGTCATGATTCACACACATCTTCTCTAAAAAGGACAAAATTATTTTATAGTTACAGACAATATTACTTAGGGAAATGTGATTTAATGTTTAGAATTACTTATCCAAAAGTCTTAACACATGTATGGGTGTTGTATGGTTCCATGAAGAATAACCTGATTTGACCATTTAGTGAGTGTGACATGGCATAAGGATAACAACATAATAGGCTTATATTGCTCATCTCTTTTCTCCTTGATTGAGCAACCTTCAATAAATGATTCAAAATAAGACATCTGGTTCTCCTCCTGAAACTTCTATCATCAGCTCACAAGATTTCCATAACAGTAAATAGTTAGATTGGAGAAATCAGATGTTGTCCAATTGGCTAGGACCCCCAGGGTAGGAACAGAGAAGACATTGGTGGGGACGGTCTACTCAGGGTCTAGCTGGGCATTGATCATGTTAGGGCGGGCTCTGAATCACTGTGCATCAGAGGCTCTGTGGCCTTGGGCAGATGAATCTCTGTGGGAATGGATAGAGTCTCTTTGGAACTGAGCAGCTGAGTCTATGTGGGAAGACCCACGTTTCTTTCCAGGGACCTGCGACCTCTACATACCTCCTGGCAAAAAGTGAAACCCAAGGAAAGGGGACTGTTCAAGGTTTTCGGGTTCAGGATCAGATTGGAGGGCTAGCCGAGCAGACTGGAGACAAGAACGTAGGAGGCGAGGCAAAGGTTACCCAACGAATGCCGACTGGTGGCAAACAGGCCAGGGGCCAGCTGACTGGAGTGCAAGCTGGAGATTAGCTGATTCAAGCCTTAACATCTGGGTGCAGGCCAGTCAGCCAACTGTGAAGCAGGCAGAAAGTAATAAAACAAATCATGACTCCTAGAGGTCATTTCATAGTCTCTGCAGCACTAACAACACATTGCTAATGAGCAGGACAACAGTAAGTGGTGATGACGACAGTGTAGTGAGCAGTGAGTTTTATTTTTAGATGTACTAGTCTTTAAGTCATCAGACACAGCCGTCTCTCAGAAGGCTGCACAGTGCTTAGCAGAAGAGATTCATCTTTGGAATAACATGGAGGGTTTGGTGAACTGCTGTATTCAGAGAGGCTTGACATTAGACTTAACTTTGATCATTTTGTAACAAAAATCAAACTTTCTGTTGACAGGTGCAATAGAGAATGACACTTGATTCCACTTTTGGTGGAATCAAGTGCCTCAAAAACTTGTGTTTGCTTAGAAAATAAATGGCAGATAACAACTCACTGGATGGTGGTGAGACTGTGCGACGACAGATCAATGACCAGGTCATGATTGTGCAGATCCTGGTGATGATTTTTCTCTGCATCAACTTGTTGCTCATCGTCACCTTTTTTAAGAGAGAGTGCTTCTACACAACAACACGTTACATCTTATTTGCTGTTACATTACTGTCAGATAGTTTGATGTTATTCATCTCTGATATCCTGCTCATCTTGAGCTATTTTCGCTTTACCATGCAAGTTTGGTTGTGTGTCATTATCTCTATTTTTGTGCTTTTGTGCTCTGTACTCACACCAGTTACTCTGACAGCAATGACCCTGGAGCGCTACGTGGCCATTTGCATGCCCCTGCGCCATGGAGAGCTGTGCTCCACACGCAGAACTGTGCACTGTATCCTCATCGTTCATGGCATCAGCTCTGTGCCCTGCATCGTTATTCTCTCCATGTTCTTTGCATCAGTATCCCTTAGTTTCTACACACAATATCAGATATGTTCATTAGAAATGTTTAGCTTTCATGTGTGGCAGGATCATATTAGGTCTGCTGTACAACAATTCTACTTCTTGGTCATGTGCATAATTATTGTTGTCGCCTATATTAAAATAATGAAAGTGGCCAAAGCTGCATCAGGAGAGGATAAAAAGTCAACATGGAAAGGACTCAGAACAGTGGTTCTTCATGGTTTCCAGCTGCTTCTCTGTCTCATCCAGCTGCTGTGCCCATTTATAGAGGCCTGGATACTTCAGATTAATTTCATGTTGTTTGTTCAAGTCAGGTACTTTAATTACATAATGTTTTTTCTTGCACCAAGATGTCTGAGTCCTCTCATTTATGGCCTCAGAGATGAAATTTTTTCACAAGCACTGAAAAACTATACCTCCATTGGCCTATTTAAAAGAAATGTTATTTGACAAGTTAGACTAATAATCTTCTAACCGAAATTCACATTGCATTTAATTTACTAAATTCTAATTTCATTAAAACATATTGGAAATAACTCTGTATGTTTGTAATTCACTTTCTAAATAGTAAAATGGCAATTATTGGACCTTGGGACGTTATTTTCCCATGTTTTCTGTTGTAAATGATTGAAAGGAACAAAAATCTTTGGAATTGGTGCAGTATTGAGCAAGAACGGCAATGTAAACAACAGTCAGAATAAATCTACTTAAGTGCTTGTTTTTGCCACTGACAGCCTCAGATTGTTATTATTAGGGACAGCATCATAGAAAGGATTCTTAAAGAGAGAGATCATTTTTGTTTGACCAGAAGCCGCTGTTATACTGCAACCAGACTCTGTTGACAAAAACGTTTCACCTCGCAGAGCAGTAGTGGTAGAGTTGTTGGTCAAATGCTGCCTCAATTGGTTAATTTGTTTCTGTTATTATTATTAGGGATTATGGACCCCTGTAGCATTTCAGTCTAGCAACAATTCATGAGAGGTAGGGGCTACTTCTTAGGGAAGACTGTGTTTACAGTAAATGCTGCTATGCCTCATAGGTGCTCTCTGTGCCATTACTGTTAATATATGTATATTATTTAAAATGTTCTATGATTTGTTTGTTTTGCAAAACATATGGAAAATTTATGAGATGCACGTTATTAAAACTACAAGACCAAGCGAAAAAGACAACTGCTGTTTAATATACTTAAAGTATGTACAGAGTTTGTGTTTTTAAACCAATCTTTATAGACTGAGTGATCATTCAACATCACAAGGCTTGGTGACATGTCTATGTACATGTGCATCTCCAAGCTATATAGTATGTCAAATCCTTTTACACTATAATATAAGGTAATTATATCTGTGTGATATTACAGAAATAATACACCATAAATTCTTTCAATTAATATTATCTGCATACTTTAGTGGGCGATTGTAAATAGGTAAACATGTAAAATACACATATTTCATTGTTGGCTCATAATATACTGGCAGTAATGTGTGCCTCAGGATTGCCACAGCTTAAATTGAATGGCTTTAAAATTTCCTTGTATTTTTTGTGAAAGGCATAAACAGAATTTTGGCCTTTTTTGTATGTTGTAGGGTGTGGCCCTGGCTGGAAGTCAGATGAGTCCATCTCATGTTGGGTCAATCTATTGAATCTAATGATGTCAGGTGTCGAATAAATAAATACATACATACACACACACACACACACACACACACACACACACACACTGATACACACACACACAAGGGCTCTGACAAGTGTTTAGATGGAGTCCTAGAGAGAGCATTGCTGGAGGACTTTAATATTAACATGGACAAAAAGAGACAAACTCAGAAGGAAAGGCCTGCCATATCTGAACCCCAAGGTGAAGGAGTCTCCCCACCTCAACAAGCTAAAGCTCTAACTGGTGCCTCAACAGACAGGACAACTGAGACAGGAACTGGAAAGATGAGATCATGAGCACTCAGTTATTGAAAGAGCTTTTGGTAAGGTTACTCTAACAAAGACATCCTGTATGTCCAGATGCAACAGTTGCTTCAACAGTTGCTGCACCTCCTGCTTAAATAGTGCTTTCTTATAGAATTTCTGTGCTGTTTGTATTGATCATATTGATGAGGCTATGCATTGTGCATTCTTTTTCTATTACCCCACATCTTCTCATAGATTATTGTTAGAATATCTATTATATTATATAGCAGCAAACAAGGACCCATCAACGTATGTATTTTAAATTAAATACATTTAGATTCCTTTTATTTTTTTACCATTATATGAACAGTGAAAAAACAATGAGGCAAACAATATTTTTATAAAAAGACTCTCTTTGTTAAAACAAAACATACAATAAACAACATTTTGTTCCGATGCTGGATAAAACCCACTGCCACACAACGTAGTATATACTGAAGATTTGATAATCATTTTCAAGCTCACATTGATCAAATACACTCTTAAATAGTGATTTATGAAATAGTAAAGAATTACCAATTTATTTCTTTCCCTTTTCAATATTTAATTTTCTTTGTATAAATGTAAACATGTAAACATCTTACAGGCTAAAAAAAGAAGATAGACATAATAGGGAAATAAACTTTAGACAGTTCATAGCTTTTGAAGTTGAATCTGTATCGCAGTGAAATCAACAGCACGTTGACTTAGACTTTTTTTTTTTTTACGTTTTTGTCCGTCTGTCTATTTCTCTCAGTCCTCTCGTAGATAAGCTTCGTGCACCTCATGCTCCTCACTATCCTCTAAAGAGGCGGCATATTCAGCCATCCTTTGAATCTCTTCTACTTTAGTCTCAGCCAGCTTCTTATCTGCGTCCACTGACATTTTCTGTGCCTCCTCCACCTGCAACTGGGCCACTTGTATGTTTGTCCTCACCGTGATGGACGCATGCTCGGCTCCTGGGAACACACAGATACAAACACAAATAGATAAATATTTAAGATATAAAAATTATTTTAATCCTTTTATCATTCCATCATTAGAAATACAGCAGTAGCATTATATCAAAGCATATGAAGGCACACATTTTACTCACCTGAAGTGTACGCTGCCTCAGCCACCAGTTTACACAAGTTGACAGCACTGATCCAGGATGACTCAAAACGTTTGCATTCATTTAGTCTCTCGCTAACCTGCCAGAGGAAAAGAGATGAGACAAACTCTTTATCACAAATATATCTTTTTAGTTGTTTTTGCAAAGTGTAATAATTCTGGTAGGAAAAACTGACTGCTTTAAGTTCAGTTTAGGTTTGTTTTCAAAGACTTTTCTCCAAAGAGGACAACAGCACAAACTAACCTCTGCACGCTGGCCTTTGATCGCCTGCTGGAGCAAATCCTCCTCTGCTGGGGTCAGTTTTCCCACTGAGGCCAAATAGCGTTTTTGGAGAGCAATGCGTGTGTGCACAGCCTGTTAGCACAAAGAGGCAGGACAGACAGTCAGGAAAAATACAGAGAAACTTAAAATGATAAACATACAATACTTTTACTCTATCTGTGAGAATGATCAGTGAACATGGTTGATGACACATGATCAGACAAGTGTCGAATCAAATTACAGCTCTGAGCAGATTTTGTTTTTTACTCCTACGACTTCAACCCAAAGTCCTGGATTTGTAAATTTCTAAATTCTTTAATTTCTTAACATGTACTGTAAAAATAATTTTTGCCATGATGGAAAAATCTCAGATTGAGGTTGGCACCATCAAAAAAAATAGAAAAAATTTTGAAACTTACCTTTGAATAATCGCACAAAGAGCACAAAGAGGCAGGACAGACAGTCAGGAAAAATACAGAGAAACTTAAAATGATAAACATAGAGAAAAATTACTGTATCTGTGAGAATGTCAGTGAAACATGGTTTGATGACACATGATCAGACAAGTGTCGAATCAAATTACAGCTCTGAGCAGATTTTTTTTTTTACTCCTACGACTTCAACCAAAGTCTGGATTTGTAAATTTCTAAACTTTTCTTAACATGTACTGTAAAAATAATTTTTGCCAATGATGGATGAAAATCTCAGATTGAGGTTGGCACCATCAAAAAAATAGAAATTTTGAAAACTTCCTTTGAATAATCCGTAAGGGCATCTATGAACCAGCCAAGGTGGTCTGGGAGAGGAAAGTACTTGAACTGTCTGTAACCACTGAGGCTGCTCTTCTGATCAGGAAGTCATGGGAGAGGTTTTCCACTTGCTACAAATGGAGTAAAAGGGGGTAAATTCAGCATTTTAATATCTTCCTTCAGTTTGTGCATGTACAAAATATGAATTATATTACAGTGTCTCTGATAGGAGATTAACCCACCTGTGTAAAAGGGACAGCACAGAGCCCACGGGCAACACTTAAAGGTGCTATGCTCATGTGTGCAGTGTTTGTCCATTCCCCTGAATTCTGGACTCCAGCTTTCCTGCTGCTGAATACGACACCCTCAGAACTGCTGTAGACACATTAGGAAAGGATATATGCGGGTTAATACAGGCATGACCATTGGTATTTCAGCTTAAAGTTTTGTAGTGCTGTGAGTTATAATTCTAAGGTTTGAATTTGCCTGCCAATCTTTCAGGTGATGTTTAAGAAATGAAACTTGAAAACAATCTTACTTAAACACAAGGAGAAAAAGTTGCTGAAACTCTGATAGACAGCAAAGATCTAGACTGTGCTCCAACTAAATACTACGACATTGCCCATTATTCATAACCAACCTTAGGACACGGATGCAGGCTGCTCCTCTCCTCAGGACGCTCTTGCTGGTCCGCAGCAGTGAAATGTCTGTCTGATTTTGCAGAAATCCTCTAGCCGCACGGCTGGCACACACTGAACACTGACGAACAGCTTGCATTTTGCAGATTATTTAGGTCTGCAGCACTAGAAGAAAGTATTGATATGATCTATGTAAAATGAGTTGGTGATTGCAGGTTTTCTATTTTCTGCAGTCTGAACTAATCTCTAACGACCTAATCAGCCCACTGTTGCCTTGTCTTTGTAAAATCAGAGAAAAAAGCTTGTTTGCTGCTGGAAATCTTTCAGTCTGCTTGACGACTGCAAACTGTGATGTCCAGTGGGTATTTGTAAGGCCTCAGCGCCATTTCATTGCGTAAAAGCATTGATCTGTTGACTCTGCTTGCAAATGTGCGTATATGGTGTTATCTGCAAAAGCCAACAGGGACAGAAATTACGTACAGGCTGCAGAACCTGATCTGTTTTGGTTGTTTGACAAACACTGTCTCAATTGCATGCAGTGTGCATGCATGAGAAAGAGGACCAGCTGGAGGTCACAACAAAAAGAACTTATAGTCATTTGGATGATTGTTATCAGACTTGAATCACAATGTTCTTACATGAAATTAAAAATATCTGCAATATTTTACAAATTACAAACAACTCATATTTAGAAAACAATGAATATGGAATGAATTACAATCCAAAATGATAAGGGTACAATAATGAATATACATGTATGTAAGATCTGTCATATACTCTAACAACATAGATGTGGAGTATTTTATTACATTAAATGGGGAGTACCAAATTCTATGCGTGGAGGTGTTTAAATTAGGTAAATTCTAGTTAATTTTGATTGTAAGGATTACAATATTATCAGATATTTTGGCTTTTGTTTGTAATTACAAACTTTTCAGAGTGAGAAAACTGAGCATCTGTAATACTCTAAACAACTTTTGTCTGAATTAACATTTATCCAATTGTTTCGTCTGTAGAGATATTTTGCATTTTTAAGAATCAGTACACTTTGTACTTTTAACAATAATGAGCATCTGTAATGCGAACAGCATAAGTGAATAACAGTAATAATAACTAAGATGACTTAATGATGATCAACATAGTAATTAATCATCTAAGAGAGAAACAGTAAACTTTGTACACTTACAACATTAAGTCTTTGGTAAAAACTATTTCTATGACTCCTTGAGGTCACTACACAGTCTCTGCAGCACCAACTTTAGATAGCTAATGAGGGTGACTAGCAGTAAGTGGTGATGACGACAGTGTAGTGAGCAGTGAGTTTTATTTTTAGATGTACTAGTCTTTAAGTCATCAGACACAGCCGTCTCTCAGAAGGCTGCACAGAGCTCAGCAGAAGAGATTCATCTTTGGAAAAACATGGAGGGTTTGGTGAACTGCTGTATTCAGAGAGGCTTGACATTGGACTTTGATTTTTGTAAGAAAAATCAAACTTTCTGTTGACAGGTGCATTAGAGAATGACACTTGATTTCACTTTTGGCAGTGCCTAAAAAACTTTGTGTTTGCTTAGAAAAAAAATGGCAGATAACAACTCACTGGATGGTGGTGAGACTGTGCGACGACAGATCAATGACCAGGTCATGATTGTGCAGATCCTGGTGATGATTTTTCTCTGCATCAACTTGTTGCTCATCGTCACCTTTTTTAAGAGAGAGTGCTTCTACACAACAACACGTTACATCTTATTTGCCGTTACATTACTGTCTGACAGCATGATACTAGTAGTAACTGATATTCTGCTCATCTTAAGCTATTTTCGCTTCACAATCCAAGTTGGGGTGTGTGTTGTTCTCTGTTTCATGTTGTACCTGTACTATACAGTCACACCATTTACTCTGACAGCAATGACCCTGGAGCGCTATGTGGCCATTTGCATGCCCCTGCGTCATGGAGAGCTGTGCTCCACACGCAATACTATTCACTGCATCCTCATCATCCACAGTCTCAGCTTTGTAACTATTACTGTTGTTCTCTCCACTTTATTTGCGTCAGTCTCCCTTAGCTTCTACACACAATTCAAAATATGCTCTATGGAGATATTCTTTGTTCACACATGGCAGGATCACATTAGGTCAGGTATCAGTCAGTTTTACTTCTTGATCATGTGTATCATAATTGTGTTTACGTATGTTAAAATAATGAAAGTGGCCAAAGCTGCATCCGGAGATGATAAAAAGTCAACAAGGAAAGGGCTCAGAACAGTGGTTCTTCATGCTTTCCAGCTGTGGCTTTGTCTCGTCCAGCTGTGGTGTCCATTTATAGAAAGAGCTGTCCTTCAGATTGATTTCATGTTGTTCGTTCAAGTCAGGTACTTTAACTATATAATGTTTGGTCTTGCTCCAAGATGCCTGAGTCCTCTCATATATGGCCTCAGGGATGAAAAGTTTTTTCTTGAACTGAAAAGCTACACCTTGTTCAGTAACTGAGAACAGCCTCACTTCATTTTCTCTTTACTTATGACTTAGGGGCATGTTTTATCTATGTTCTATTCTTGCTAATATTACATTTATATTTTTCTGTATCTGGCTATTAGTAAGACTTTGGCTTCATTTCTATGATGAAAACACAGTTAACAAACCTTTAACTCCACATACAATAAAATGTCTGATGGTAAAGTATAAACTACAGTTTAATTTTTTTTTTTTTCTCTATTTCTTCCTCTTGTCTATTTTGCATGACTGTACTTAACAAGTCTTTGCTCTCTAAATGCTGCTAATCTGTGCAGCAAATAACCAAGTTACAAATGTTAATGTGAGGTATGTGTTAAAAAGAGAGCTGTTCTAACAATAAAAGCTTATGGTTATTTGGTGCATCTTGCTTTTCAAATACCCTCATTCAGCAGAAATGACTAAAATATACCTGCTTTGTAATAAACATGTTTGGTATGTTTTTATCAGTCATGTTTCTCATCCACTGAAATGAAATAGCCCTATGTTGTATTATTATCTGTCCATCCATTGTCAGTTGTCCTGCTCAGGGTTGTAGTGGATGAGAGCCTACAGGCCTTTTTCACATCAGACATTTTGACTTAGTCATAGTTGGAAAAGCACAGGTTTTACTAATTAACATTGATAAATGTTTCATACACATTTACTGTAGATGTGCCATTTCACTGAGAATTGAGCCATTATTAATGTTTTTAATTTCACTTGTGCTTCTCCAACTATGACACTCTATAGGTTGGATCCAAACTTACTCTCTATGATCTACACTGTGCACTATATTCCCTGTCTGCCAATTTACTGAGGCTGTTCTCCTGTGAAATCATGCTCATCGGTCATCGGTGCAAGCAGCTTATGACAAACCATAGTTATGTTCTATTGTTAGGCAGCAGTAAGTATGACAGAAGCAGAGGGGGAAGTCAGGTGATGTAGTATAGAGCGATAGAGTCTGCATTAGGTGAAGGTTGGAGTGGATGGAGGGTAAATGGCCTGTGCTTACATTGCGCTTTACACTACAAACTCCATTCACACAGATAAACGTACAGCTCACTCAAGATACATCGAGGGCAATTCAGTTCAATATCTCGCCCGACGGCACTTCAACATGCAGACTGGAGGAGCTGGGAATCGAACCACCGACCTCCCAATTAGTTGACGACCCACTCTATCTCCTGAGCCATGGCCTGTGTGTTTTGTGGATCCCTCCGCAAAACACAAGACTGTGACAAAGGAAACTGCTGTCTAAGCTTGTTTGAAGCAGCCACCATTCCACAACCTCGACCACATGTTTATTATTTTAACTATGACGACAGAGGTCCATGCGCCTGCCACCGCAGGGGCATTATTTGAGTAGATGCTCCTATGCATCACATCAGAGGATAGGGACAGACAACCTATATGGTTGTGAAAAAGCAGTCTGTAAGTTGTTCAAGGCTACACCTGTAAATGATGATGCAAAGCCATGATGATAACCAATCAGACACAATAATGAGAAAACTAAGTATCTGTAATGCTGTAAACAGCTAAAATGACTCAATGATGATTAACATAGAAATGAATCATCTGATTGTTTATTCTAAAGAACATCCCCGTTTTTAAGAAACAGCACACTTTGTGCTTTTTACAATAATACAACACTATGGATGCTTTCACACCTGTGCCTTTTAGTTCAGTTAAACCAAACCCTGATTCGTTTGGGCAGGTGTGAAAACAGTAACCAAAACAATCACACCGAGGCCATTTCGAGGAGGTGGTCTCGGTCCGGTCCCAAACGAGCTCAGGAACGCTTCGTTTTTGGTGTGAAAGAGTTCTGAACTGGATCCGACCCCACTAGCAGGTGAACTCACAAGTTTGAGCTAGATGTTTCCCGTAACTTGCCTCCTGTGTCTTTCCTGCTCCCATCAGACAATCTGACCAATAAGCAGAATAAAACGTTCTCATGTGGTTTGTAATGATGCATTCTGGTTCACCTAAATTTTTCTCTATGTGAAAGAGACAAAACCAAGGGGAAAATGCTACAAGTTTACAAACTCAGCAACTGAATCAGACCAGAGCAAACAAACATTAGATGTGAAAACACCCTAAGTCTTTGGTAAAAACTATTTCTATGACTCCTTGAGGTCACTACACAGTCTCTGCAGCACCAACTTTAGATAGCTAATGAGGGTGACTAGCAGTAAGTGGTGATGACGACAGTGTAGTGAGCAGTGAGTTTTATTTTTAGATGTACTAGTCTTTAAGTCATCAGACACAGCCGTCTCTCTCAGAAGGCTGCACAGAGCTCAGCAGAAGAGATTCATCTTTGGAATAACATGGAGGGTTTGGTGAACTGCTGTATTCAGAGAGGCTTGACATTGGACTTTGATTTTTGTAAGAAAAATCAAACTTTCTGTTGACAGGTGCATTAGAGAATGACACTTGATTTCACTTTTGGCAGTGCCTAAAAAACTTTGTGTTTGCTTAGAAAATAAATGGCAGATAACAACTCACTGGATGGTGGTGAGACTGTGCGACGACAGATCAATGACCAGGTCATGATTGTGCAGATCCTGGTGATGATTTTTCTCTGCATCAACTTGTTGCTCATCGTCACCTTTTTTAAGAGAGAGTGCTTCTACACAACAACACGTTACATCTTATTTGCCGTTACATTACTGTCTGACAGCATGATACTAGTAGTAACTGATATTCTGCTCATCTTAAGCTATTTTCGCTTCACAATCCAAGTTGGGGTGTGTGTTATTATCTGTTTCATGTTGTACCTGTACTATACAGTCACACCATTTACTCTGACAGCAATGACCCTGGAGCGCTATGTGGCCATTTGCATGCCCCTGCGTCATGGAGAGCTGTGCTCCACACGCAATACTATTCACTGCATCCTCATCATCCACAGTCTCAGCTTTGTAACTATTACTGTTGTTCTCTCCACTTTATTTGCGTCAGTCTCCCTTAGCTTCTACACACAATTCAAAATATGCTCTATGGAGATATTCTTTGTTCACACATGGCAGGATCACATTAGGTCAGGTATCAGTCAGTTTTACTTCTTGATCATGTGTATCATAATTGTGTTTACGTATGTTAAAATAATGAAAGTGGCCAAAGCTGCATCCGGAGATGATAAAAAGTCAACAAGGAAAGGGCTCAGAACAGTGGTTCTTCATGCTTTCCAGCTGTGGCTTTGTCTCGTCCAGCTGTGGTGTCCATTTATAGAAAGAGCTGTCCTTCAGATTGATTTCATGTTGTTCGTTCAAGTCAGGTACTTTAACTATATAATGTTTGGTCTTGCTCCAAGATGCCTGAGTCCTCTCATATATGGCCTCAGGGATGAAAAGTTTTTTCTTGAACTGAAAAGCTACACCTTGTTCAGTAACTGAGAACAGCCTCACTTCATTTTCTCTTTACTTATGACTTAGGGGCATGTTTTATCTATGTTCTATTCTTGCTAATATTACATTTATATTTTTCTGTATCTGGCTATTAGTAAGACTTTGGCTTCATTTCTATGATGAAAACACAGTTAACAAACCTTTAACTCCACATACAATAAAATGTCTGATGGTAAAGTATAAACTACAGTTTAATTTTTTTTTTCTTCTCTATTTCTTCCTCTTGTCTATTTTGCATGACTGTACTTAACAAGTCTTTGCTCTCTAAATGCTGCTAATCTGTGCAGCAAATAACCAAGTTACAAATGTTAATGTGAGGTATGTGTTAAAAAGAGAGCTGTTCTAACAATAAAAGCTTATGGTTATTTGGTGCATCTTGCTTTTCAAATACCCTCATTCAGCAGAAATGACTAAAATATACCTGCTTTGTAATAAACATGTTTGGTATGTTCTTATCAGTCATGTTTCTCATCCACTGAAATGAAATAGCCCTATGTTGTATTCAGTGACGTGCAGTCAGGGGAGGCACTGCCTCACCTGCCATCATGGAAAGAAAAAAAAAGTAAAAAGAAAAAAAATTTATTAAATTGTTATATGTATACAGTGATTATACTATAAAGTTATTTTCCATTTAACTTCACCAGTTTTAGATTATTTTTATTCAAAATCGCTGAATTTTGACATTTACCGTTCAAATACTGAGAAGAGACTTGCGGTGAGGCAGCAGCCAGCTGAGCCTCACCATGGATTGCGCAATGACTCGGCTAACTGCTGGCCTGCTGTGCAGTGAGACCGTATTGCTATCTCTTTGTATGTCGCTATTAAAATGTTCAAACACTTTTGCTATATGAATTATATTATAAATTTCCATAGTTTAGTTAGCTGAGGTATATAATGTACAGTGTATTTTATCAACAACTGTATGTGTGTAACGTGTTTCTTGTGCTGAGCAATCATAAAACGGCTGCGAAGACGCACTGGGTGAGGCACGCAGTTCTCCTGCCTCATGGTAGAGGGCGCTAGTGATGAAGTCAGTGCCTCACCAGCCATGAACCTCACCGCACGTCACTGGTTGTATTATTATCTGTCCATCCATTGTCAGTTGTCCTGCTCAGGGTTGTAGTGGGTGAGAGCCTACAGGCCTTTTTCACATCAGACATTTTGACTTAGTCATAGTTGGAAAAGCACAGGTTTTACTAATTAACATTAATAAATGTTTCATACACATTTACTGTAGATGTGCCATTTCACTGAGAATTGAGCCATTATTAATGTTTTTAATTTCACTTGTGCTTCTCCAACTATGACACTCTATAGGTTGGATCCAAACTTACTCTCTATGATCTACACTGTGCACTATATTCCCTGTCTGCCAATTTACTGAGGCTGTTCTCCTGTGAAATCATGCTCATCGGTCATCGGTGCAAGCAGCTTATGACAAACCATAGTTATGTTCTATTGTTAGGCAGCAGTAAGTATGACAGAAGCAGAGGGGGAAGTCAGGTGATGTAGTATAGAGCGATAGAGTCTGCATTAGGTGAAGGTTGGAGTGGATGGAGGGTAAATGGCCTGTGCTTACATTGCGCTTTACACTACAAACTCCATTCACACAGATAAACGTACAGCTCACTCAAGATACATCGAGGGCAATTCAGTTCAATATCTCGCCCGACGGCACTTCAACATGCAGACTGGAGGAGCTGGGAATCGAACCACCGACCTCCCAATTAGTTGACGACCCACTCTATCTCCTGAGCCATGGCCTGTGTGTTTTGTGGATCCCTCCGCAAAACACAAGACTGTGACAAAGGAAACTGCTGTCTAAGCTTGTTTGAAGCAGCCACCATTCCACAACCTCAACCACATGTTTATTATTTTAACTATGACGACAGAGGTCCATGCGCCTGCCACCGCAGGGGCATTATTTGAGTAGATGCTCCTATGCATCACATCAGAGGATAGGGACAGACAACCTATATGGTTGTGAAAAAGCAGTCTGTAAGTTGTTCAAGGCTACACCTGTAAATGATGATGCAAAGCCATGATGATAACCAATCAGACACAATAATGAGAAAACTAAGTATCTGTAATGCTGTAAACAGCTAAAATGACTCAATGATGATTAACATAGAAATGAATCATCTGATTGTTTATTCTAAAGAACATCCCCGTTTTTTAAGAAACAGCACACTTTGTGCTTTTTACAATAATACAACACTATGGATGCTTTCACACCTGTGCCTTTTAGTTCAGTTAAACCAAACCCTGATTCGTTTGGGCAGGTGTGAAAACAGTAATCGCACTCAGGAGGTGGTCTCGGTCCGGTCCCAAACGAGCTCAGGAACGCTTCCTTTTTGGTGTGAAAGAGTTCTGAACTGGATCCGACCCCACTAGCAGGTGAACTCACAAGTTTGAGCTAGATGTTTCCCGTAACTTGCCTCCTGTGTCTTTCCTGCTCCCATCAGACAATCTGACCAATAAGTAGAAGAAAACATTTTCATGTGGTTTGTAATGATGCATTCTGGTTCACCTAAATTTTTCTCTACGTGAAAGAAAACCGAACCAAGGGAAAAATGCTACAAGTTTACAAACTCAGCAACTGAATCAGACCAGAGCAAACAAACATTAGACGTGAAAACACCCTAAGTCTTTGGTAAAAACTATTTCTATGACTCCTTGAGGTCACTACACAGTCTCTGCAGCACCAACTTTAGATAGCTAATGAGGGTGACTAGCAGTAATTGGTGATGACGACAGTGTAGTGAGCAGTGAGTTTTATTTTTGGATGTACTAGTCTTTAAGTCATCAGACACAGCCGTCTCTCTCAGAAGGCTGCACAGAGCTCAGCAGAAGAGATTCATCTTTGGAATAACATGGAGGGTTTGGTGAACTGCTGTATTCAGAGAGGCTTGACATTGGACTTTGATTTTTGTAAGAAAAATCAAACTTTCTGTTGACAGGTGCATTAGAGAATGACACTTGATTTCACTTTTGGCAGTGCCTAAAAAACTTTGTGTTTGCTTAGAAAATAAATGGCAGATAACAACTCACTGGATGGTGGTGAGACTGTGCGACGACAGATCAATGACCAGGTCATGATTGTGCAGATCCTGGTGATGATTTTTCTCTGCATCAACTTGTTGCTCATCATCACCTTTTTTAAGAGAGAGTGCTTCTACACAACAACACGTTACATCTTATTTGCTGTTACATTACTGTCAGATAGTTTGATGTTATTCATCTCTGATATCCTGCTCATCTTGAGCTATTTTCGCTTTACCATGCAAGTTTGGTTGTGTGTCATTATCTCTTTTATGGTACTTCTGTATCTTACAGTCACACCAGTTACTCTGACAGCAATGACCCTGGAGCGCTACGTGGCCATTTGCATGCCCCTGCGTCATGGAGAGCTGTGCTCCACACGCAGATCTGTGCACTGTATTCTCATCATTCATGGCATCAGCTCTGTGCCCTGCATTCTCATTCTCTCCACTTTCTTTGCATCAGCATCTCTTAGTTTCTATAAACAATATCAGATATGTTCAGTGCAAATGTTTACTTTTTATGCATGGCAGGATTATATTACTTCAGCTGTACAACAATTCTACTTCTTGGTCATGTGTATAATTATTGTTTTCTCCTATATTAAAATAATGAAAGTGGCCAAAGCTGCATCAGGAGATGATAAAAAGTCATCAAAGAAAGGGCTCAGAACAGTGGTTCTTCATGGTTTCCAGCTGCTGCTCTGTCTCATCCAGCTGCTGTGCCCATTCATAGAGACTTCGGTACTTCAGATTAATTTCAGGTTATTTGTCAATGTCAGGTACTTTAACTACATAATGTTCAATCTTGCACCAAGATGTCTGAGTCCTCTCATTTATGGCCTCAGGGATGAAAATTTCTTTCAAGCACTGAAACACTATGCCTCTATTGGCTTGTTTAAAAGAAATATTATTTGACAAGTTAGGATAATAATTTTCTAACAGAAATTGCATTTAATTTATTGAAATTAAAATTTCATTAAAACATACTATAACTGAAATAGTAACTGTCTATGTTCACAATTCACTTTCTAAATAGTTAAAGTGTAAATTTGGGATTTTGGATAAGACAACAGAGCCCAAGATGATGAATTGTGGTCTCAGAACAGTCTGTAGGGCCGATTATTAACACTGCATGGATCACTGGGTCACTAGTGATTCATGGGACAGAAACCCATTATTTCTTAAGGGGGCTTTTATTGCTGTGCTAATATGCTGCAGTAAGCATATTGTATCAATTCTAGTTGCTGACATTTATATACTAGATTAGACTAGATACATACGAGATTTGCTAGTTTCTTTATCTAAACAGTTACCAATGGCTTCTCTCTCCCCCCACATTCTCCTGCTCTCTCTCGCTCGGTGTGTGTCTTGCTGAGTGTATCGGATGCACTACTCTGCTTCCCTGCAGCCAGGAAACCAGGACGGCTGGGTGACTGCCTGTGACAAGAGGTGTAGCCCCATGCCCATACACAATCCAGCCATATGGTGACTTATATGGCCATATAAGTCTCTAAATATAGTGACAAATGCACTAAGTTGGCAACACTCCCCTTAATAGAACCAGATCACTTCTAAGAGCAATGGCCAATGGGAAAACTGCCCCTCTGTTGCAGTCCAGTCAAAATCCGGACACAGGTCAATGATACGGCCAGGGCCTTAACACTGACGTCTTGTCATAAGTTATGCTTTATGTAAAACTGAATATCTATCTGTATCTTTAAATCAAGTTTTGTTGCTTTTACAGAAGTTATTAATTTTTAGGCAACATTTCAAAGGCAGATAAGATTTGGCTTTAACCACTTCTTGTTGTGAATTGACCGTCGTCTGTCCTACCACTAAGTCATATCACGGTAAATTAGGATATATGATATGGATAAAATTGGATTCTATGAAATGGCAACAAACAAGGACCCATCAACATTTATATTACATTAAATACACATGGATTCACTTTATTTTAACTGATATGTGAACAGTGAAAAAACAATGATACAAACAATACTTTTATAAAAAAAAAATTGTCTTTGTTACAACAAAACATACAATAAACAACATTTTGTTCCAATGTTAGATAAACCCGACTGCCACACAATAGATACTGAAGATTTGATAATCATTTTCCAAAAGCTCTAAAACCAGCTCACATTCACAAATGAAACATATGGTCTAAAACTTATGATTCATGAAATAGTAAAAAATGACTTGTTAGCAATTTATTTTTTTCCCTTTTCAAAATGTCACTTTCTTGGTCTAAATGCAAACGTGAACATCTTTAAGGCTCAAAATGAAAGAGCAACAAAATAGGGAAATAACACGTAGACAGCTCAAGTTGAATCTGTATCAATATGAACTGAACAGCACTGTGGCATTATTTTTTTCTTTTGTCCAACATCTGTCTATTTCTCTTAATCCTCTCGTAGATAAGCTTCGTGCACCTCATGCTCCTCACTATCCTCTAAAGAGGCGGCATATTCAGCCATCCTTTGAATCTCTTCTACTTTAGTCTCAGCCAGCTTCTTATCTGCGTCCACTGACATTTTCTGTGCCTCCTCCACCTGCAACTGGGCCACTTGTATGTTTGTCCTCACCGTGATGGACGCATGCTCGGCTCCTGGGAACACACAGATACAAACACAAATAGATAAATATTTAAGATATAAACATGATTTTAATCCTTTCATCATTCCATCATTAGAAATACGGCAGTAGCATTATATCAAAGCATATGAAGGCACACATTTTACTCACCTGAAGTGTATGCTGCCTCAGCCACCAGTTTACACAAGTTGACAGCACTGATCCAGGATGACTCAAAACGTTTGCATTCATTTAGTCTCTCGCTAACCTGCCAGAGGAAAAGAGATGAGACAAACTCTTTATCACAAATATATCTTTTTAGTTGTTTTTGCAAAATGTAATAATTCTGGTAGGAAAAACTGACTGCTTTAAGTTCAGTTTAGGTTTGTTTTCAAAGACTTTTCTCCAAAGAGGACAACAGCACAAACTAACCTCTGCACGCTGGCCTTTGATCGCCTGCTGGAGCAAATCCTCCTCTGCTGGGGTCAGTTTTCCCACTGAGGCCAAATAGCGTTTTTGGAGAGCAATGCGTGTGTGCACAGCCTGTTAGCACAAAGAGGCAGGACAGACAGTCAGGAAAAATACAGAGAAACTTAAAATGATAAACATACAATACTTTTTCTCTATCTGTGAGAATGATTTCATTTTTTACTCCTATGACTTCAACCCAAAGTCTGGATTTCTATACCTCTTATCAAATGCAAAAACATCAACACACCCTCCAGAGTCAATGTCATTTCTTAGAGGTTCAAATTATAAAGAACGCACCAGGTGTATGTCCATGTAATGTGAGAGTATTTTCTTTCCCAATGATGAAAATCTCAAATTGAGGTTGGCATCATCATAAGATATGGAAAAATGTTTCACAAAAGATGAAAACCTACCTTTGAATAATCCATAAGGGCATCTATGAGAGCCAAGGTGGTCTGGGAAAGGAAAGTACTTGAACTGTCTGTAACCACTGAGGCTGCTCTTCTGATCAGGGAGTCATGGGAGAGGTTTTCCACTTGCTACAAACAGAGTAAAAGGGGGTAAATTCAGCATTTTAATATCTTCCTTCAGTTTGTGCATGTACAAAATATGAATTATATTACAGTGTCTCTGATAGGAGATTAACCCACCTGTGTAAAAGGGACAGCACAGAGCCCACGGGCAACACTTAAAGGTGCTATGCTCATGTGTGCAGTGTTTGTCCATTCCCCTGAATTCTGGACTCCAGCTTTCCTGCTGCTGAATACGACACCCTCAGAACTGCTGTAGACACATTAGGAAAGGATATATGCGGGTTAATACAGTCATGACCATTGGTATTTCAGCTTAAAGTTTTGTAGTGCTGTGAGTTATAATCCTAAAGTTTGAATTTGCCTGCCAATCTTTCAGGTGATGTTTAAGAAATGAAACTTGAAAACGAGCTTATTTAAACACTAGGAGAAAAAGTTGCTGAAACTCTGATAGACAGCAAAGATCTAGACTGTGCTCCAACTAAATACTACGACATTGCCCATTATTCATAACCAACCTTAGGACACGGATGCAGGCTGCTCCTCTCCTCAGGACGCTCTTGCTGGTCCGCAGCAGTGAAATGTCTGTCTGATTTTGCAGAAATCCTCTAGCCGCACGGCTGGCACACACTGAACACTGACGAACAGCTTGCATTTTGCAGATTATTTAGGTCTGCAGCACTAGAAGAAAGTATTGATATGATCTATGTAAAATGAGTTGGTGATTGCAGGTTTTCTATTTTCTGCAGTCTGAACTAATCTCTAACGACCTAATCAGCCCACTGTTGCCTTGTCTTTGTAAAATCAGAGAAAAAAGCTTGTTTGCTGCTGGAAATCTTTCAGTCTGCTTGACGACTGCAAACTGTGATGTCCAGTGGGTATTTGTAAGGCCTCAGCGCCATTTCATTGCGTAAAAGCATTGATCTGTTGACTCTGCTTGCAAATGTGCGTATATGGTGTTATCTGCAAAAGCCAACAGGGACAGAAATTATGTACAGGCTGCAGAACCTGATCTGTTTTGGTTGACTTTAAGGCATATTTGAGAAATTACAGACATTTTATACAAGTTATAATATGTAACTTTTCCACATTATAATGTCTAAAAACAACCAGACCAACTGTATGTTATTTATGTACATACATTATACCAAAATTTTTAATCATGGTAACGGTCCATTTCATTCGGTCGCCTGTCATTATAGAGTCACATCTCTTTTGCGCATGTGTTAGCACTATCTCATGACTATCTGAGCATAACATTTAAAAAGAAAAACATAGAAATAGGATGATTCAAGTGTGAGTTCACATACACACAGACACCCAACCACACCCAAACAGATGCATAAACATACACATGTTTACACACTGTCTGACGAAGCATTTCCCCAACTAAAATGCATTATAATTTTCTAAATAGCGTGGCATGCATTAAGTAGAAATTTTGAGGAACGCTGATTGGAAATATTGAGGAGGAGCTACTCAGCGTGTCTTACAAAGAATCAGTGCCCCTAAACCATACACTTTCAACTTGGTGTAAACTTCCTTTTAGAATACTGGTGTAATAAACATCAACTGTGAAATATGTAAATAAAATCAACTAGATTATTGGAGGTCTATGCACTGAACAAAGGGGCGATGCACTGGGCATATTCAAAACAAAAGGATATGCAAAAACATAATTTATCAATTTATAACTCGCAACAACAAATCAACAAATCGTATCTTGACCCCGTCAGGTGTGATGTCTCGCCATCTTGGTTCACAACAGAAAAACAATTTCTCTTGGAATTTAAAAAAAAAACTGTGTAGTGTTGTGTAGTTAACTATTGAAACTGCAAACGATTATGGGTCATCAATGGAGATGAATGATTTTTTTGTTTTCATTTTACCATTGCTTCTCTACTGTAATTTATTTTTAGCCCATGCGATGCATTTGTCAGGCAGTCACCTCCACACACTTGATCTTTGTGTAGTGCATGTGCAAAAGCTGAGGTGTTGCGTGTTGTGCAGTGCTCACACAGTGACATCATCAAGGATAAACCTCCCAAAACTCAGGCTGAGGAAGAATTATCATGGCCATACTTGAGCAGTTATTGTTTACCAAACCAAATCTAACATTCCAGCACTTTCCCATGAATCGTGGGTATTTTGTTATATTTATTTTAATTTTTTTTGGTTTATGTAAGACCTGTGAAAAAGTAGGCACTTTTTGCAATAAACTGGCATGTGACTTTTTTGTATTATATTTTGTTATAATTTCCTATCAAATTTACATTGTCAATTTCATCATTTTTTCACAAAGTACTTTCAACTACTCTTTCTACATAGTTTTAGTTCACTAAACTGGATTTCTCCCTTGGGTAGCTTTTCAGTAGTTCAACTTCTTCCAGTGGGAAGTAATTGCTTGCAAAATTCTGCTTTCAAAGTAGTTTCCCCAACACTGGTCATTGATGAAGTCTAAGGAGTGTTTGTTGGCCCTTGGACCCTATTGTACACCAAAGAACCAAAGACTCATGCATTGTGTATGCAGCGTTCAGCTTCTTTAATATGCATTGAATTGGAGGAAAGATCTTTTTACTTTTGTCTGCTTGCATATCAATGCAACCATAGAGTTCGCCATGTCAGTCTGACGAGTGTCAATATTCCGAACAACACTCGGAGTAATTTCAGCTTTGTTTAGGACTCCTGCTACATTAGCCATTAGGCTAAGTTATGGGTCACACAGTGGATTTGGCAAAGTTGTTTTAGTACCAAGCTTGCATGGCCAAGTAAAAATATCACACTGATGGTTGCAGGAGTTTTTGACATATCAACACTGAGGTTCTACTCAGAAAAATAGCAGTATATATTAAGGGGATATTTAAATTGTGTACAGTTGCTTGGAACCTTCTCGTTCAGCTGCTATATTGGTCTTGTCCATGTGACTTCCCCAACTTTTATCATTTTGTAACAAAAATCAAATATTCTATTGACAGGTGCATTAGAGAATCATACTTGATTTGACTTTTGGCAGTGACTTAAAAACTTTTGTTTGCTTAGAAAATAAATGGCAGATAACAACTCACTGGTTGGTGGTGAGTCTCCTGGACGACAGATCAATGACCAGGTCATTATCGTGCAGATTCTGGTGATGATTTTTCTCTGCATCAACTTGTTGATCATTATAACCTTTTTTTTTTTTAACCTTTCACATCTGTTTTGCCATTATCTTACTCTCTGACAGCATGGACTGATTCACAATGCAAGTTGGGATGTGTATCATTATCTGTTTCATGTTCTGTATGTTACAGTCACACCATTTTCCCTGACAGCAATGACCCTGGAGCACTATGTGGCCATTTGCATGCCCCTGCACCATGGAGAGCTGCCAAGTGGCAACCTCCCAGGCTGAAAAATCAATCCAACGTAGAAATGTTAAAAACTGCAGTTCTTCGAATGGCTGCTTGACGCTGGCTCCAAAAGTGAGTCAGTCCCCATAGACTCTCATAATAACATGCCCAAACTGACAGCAGAAATAAACATGTTTACCGCCTGGTACAATAAACGCTTTTGGTCTCTCTAGCTAATTTCCCCCTTCATGACAACTGTACAGGGGTGAATTTTATATAATTCAGCTGTTTAAATTTCATTAAGATTCAAAGTTATGCATAATTGAGGGCTTATCGCTTTGAGTGTCAGGTGGGCAAGCGTATGCTTGCCACAAACGGCATGTATGTCTCGGCTCAACACGTGCTCCTCAGAAACCTTTGGGTGACATCACAGAGGTTACATCCATGGATCACATTAGGTCAGCTATAAGTCAGTTTTACTTCATGATCATGTGTATCATGATTGTGTTTACTTATGTTAGATTAATGAGAGCTGCATCAGGAGATGATAAAAAGTCAACAAGGAAAGGGCTCAGAACATTAATTCCTCATGCTTTCCAGCTGTTGCTCTGTCTCATCCAGCTGTGGTGCCCATTCATGAAAGGAGTTGTTTTTCAGATTGATTTCATGTTGTTCGTTCAGGCCAGGCACTTTAACTAACTTTGAATATCTCTGGTCACATTGGTTTCATTGGTTACATTACATAGGTATGGTGAATATGGGCCTACAAGATGATGAGACATTTAACACACAGCACTGAAGTTGTGCTAAATTCCTTTATGTCTTTGTCTTTGTGTGTGTTTGTGTATTGCACCCTCTACTATACCCGTGTTCTCATTTTTTGCTATTCATTTCACTGAAAATAGCTTAGATTTCTCTCTGTCATTTAATATTTCACTAAAACTCTTGTTGCCAAAAGTTTGGAAATCGCGTTGATTCTGTCTGATAGCCTTCAAAAAAGTTACTTGCTGAGGTGGCATCCGCTGGGGTTCAGAAGCAGAAAGTTTGTTTTGGACACAGATTTTGGTCCAATCCCCTACAGTCCTGATTACTGACGCAAAACTTGCGTAAAGGGCTGGCGAGCCCCAGTGAGGTGCTCTCACTAGAGTGAACTTGTTTGCCAAACAAATGAAAACTTCAGGTTGCACAATTAGACTCAGGAGCTTAATGTTAATGATCAGCTAGTCTGTTAATTGCTAAACTGGGGATATGGGACTTGTTCTCTAATCATGCTCTGCCGAAGTCACACAGTACAGTACCTTATGCAATTGCTGCACATGGGAGTCATTTAAACTATAGAAATATCTCTTTAAGTGTTTCATCATCTTGACAAACAGTTCTGAAGTTACACCTGCAAGTCATGTTTCTACTGTGACATCAGTAATGTTGTCTAAGAGTGTGACACTGAACAAAGAAGATTAAACACTGTTTGTGCAAAATGCCACCAGGTTTGTGTCAGAGCAGTGTTTTTCAAGGTCCCTGTTTACCTTTTGCACTGCAGTTCACAAACAGCCTTACAAGTAGTCTACTGTACATAGAGACCTGAAACCCATGGCTGCAGTATGACATTGTTGATATTGAAATACATTTTCAATATATTTAACAGCTTTATTAAAAAAATATGTAAACAAAAGAATCTTTACGACGACTGTCAACAAGATTTACTCCCTCTCCCTCAGGTAACATATGTTCAACCACACAACCAAACGTCCTTTAACCCTGACTTAAATCATTATCCTGCTATGCACGTGGCCGTAACCCAAGTTGTTTATGTGTCTGAGGTTTAACTTAACCTTAGCCAACATCACTGACTCCATATGTATGAACAGCCTCAATAATTTCAGCGAGTCCATTTTACAGCCTTTACAGCCTACTCAACCTATTAGATGCCGACACACACAGAGAGAAAAGGGGTATTGGTTTTTGTACCTAAAGGTACATTTTTCTGAAAAGGTTCTGTAACGGTCTGTAGGGTGATAACTCTGGACCTTGGTTTAATTTTAAAGGCACTTAATTGATTGCCACTTTGGATCCCACATCCCACACCTGCCTCACAGAATATTTTTCTCTCAAAAATTTTGCACATCTAGTGCAAAGTTTTCTCCTGCTTTTAATTTTAAAGGTATAAAATCATTGCTGACAGCAAAGGGTACATGTTTGTACTTTTTTATAAGATTAAGGTACAGGCAGATGATGCTGCAAATCAGTGATTTAAATTTAGGGGCATGTTTTTGCCTCATAAAGGTGCAAAATGACATGTCGCTCAAACTGTACCTCACAGGGCTGGGTATTCTGATTTCCTGGATCGATTCAAATCGGATTCACAAGGTCCCAATTTGATTTGATTCAATTCAATTCCCGATTCAATTCGATTCGATTTGATTCGATATTGATTCAGTTAGAGAAATTTAAGTTACAACATCAGTTTTTCTTGGATATGAATAAGATTCCCAGAGAACTAATGC